AAGCTTTAACTTCTTACCATTCTATCATCACCTCAAAGTCAATTTTCACCTTTTTCAGTGGCTGAATTTGTTATCTTACATTTTGCTTTGGGGCTCATATTCCTGCAATACGGCAGTACTGGATTACCAGAATACTGTTTGCTAAAAGTGAACAATGGCTGTATTACAGCAAGTCTGTAATATCCAGAAAGAAAAGGAAAAGCAGACCCGGCAAAGCACACTTTTTTTTAATTACATGCAGATTGCAAATGCTCATACATCTAGTGAGTAATAAGTAAAGCCAAGCCGACACAAGGAGATATTTTTACACTGCTGATCACACAGCAAATCCAGTTACAGGGCCTGAAAATTAATTACAGATTAGGACTTAAGTATTTACTGCTGGAAATAATGCAGGTTCATTAATGTCTAGCCTATACCATTGTTCAAGTATGACAGACCTGCCAGTTAGGAAAACTTAGGGTGTGAGCTACCTCAGCCCACCTCAAATGAGAATTCCAGCAAAACGCACAAAATATAGAGTCAGTAACAACTAGGGCCATGACTGACCTAGGACTAAACTAGCAGAGACAGCCCTAATTCTGCCATTGTAAAGCTGCTGAATGCTTCACTTGGTAACTGATGCAAAGTCCTCAACCCAACTTTCTTTCACTTAAAAACAAAGACACCATGCAGCAGTACTCAGCAACCAAATATACATTTTCGATTTTTTCTGGGATGCCAAAATATAATAACAGCACAGACACAATTCAATTCATATCTAGGATATGGTTTAACACTTTTTAAATCAAGCCCAAACTTTTGAGCGCCTCTTCTCTGAAACCAGTCCCAAGTGTACAATTCCTATTTCTTCTACATCCCTTCTAACTAATAGTGGATGTTGTCCAAGTATTTGCTGCTTACTTCCACCCGGAGTAAGAAATAGAGAAAGGTCCTGCACCACAAACTATCTGAATTGTATAAATCAAACAGATCACATAAAATAGAGCTTACCAGTGGCAGCAAAAACTATGCAACAATTTGCATCAGAAACAAGAGACAAGTAACAGGCAAATCTGACACAGAAAGAGCAAAGTCCCCAACATCTGGAAAAAGAAGGGATGCAGGAAAATCTAACAACCAACAACCCCCCCATTATTACAAGAGGAGATGTTAACAACCTCAGATTTCTCACCATACTCAATAACGATAATCAGTTGCTTCAGCACTACATAGTCCTCTTTACTAATTTTCAGAAGTGTATGACAAGGTGTACTGAAAAATAATGTAAATCACAATTAAAAGTTTTAGCCACTCCTTTCAAGATAAAATTTACACCTTTCACTCCAAAGAATGAACACCACACACAAATGAAGAGCAAGGCTTTTGAATAACAGGACCAAATACCATTCTTCCAGCATTTTTTTTAATTCCTTTAACTGGAAGGACTAAGAGACAATAAAAATCAATGCCAACCTTTGACTTCTGTACCTATGTAGTTAATGAATAATTAGTACATGTAATAGAAATGAATGAAGATCTTGGAAAGTAACATCACAGATATGATCAAAACACACCAGTGTTTTCATAAGTTCCAGAACATGAGATGTTCTGACAAAGGCTAAAAGCCTTTCGCTAACATTAACACAAGAATTGCAGATGTTATTCTGGCAATTTATCTAAAAGAAGTTTAATTAAAAGCTGAAAAAGAACAGCTGAAAAGCCATTTTTCCTTTTACTTGTATATTTTTGCCCTTTAAATTCAACATCATTTTATCCCCCATTATTTTATTCTCCCTATCTTTTGAAATTATCATTTCATTCCTTTCAGGATATTCTTCTAGCTCTGGTCTTACAGCCCTTGCCACTTTGAAATAAAGTTACAACCATTCTGCAAGCCCAATTCTCTCCTTCCACTGAAAAATGGATGTTGTAACTTGTTAGCAACCTAGATTTCCACATGACAGTAAGAAATAGACATTTTAAGTAGCTTAGGAAAAACATTAAATCAGTCTTCAGCCCCTCTGCTTTTAAGCCCTATATCTAGGAAAGGTACCAAAGCCTGTATTGCGTATCTCAGCTACCGACAATGATTCCACTTTTCTTTTTACACATCTGTGATCTTCAACTAGGGATCCAGACATCACCATCGGAAAATTACAGATATAATCAAGTGCACATTAAAAAGAAAACGTGCTTTCTTATAACCCATGGCCTCTACTACTAAAAACAGCACCCTACATAGTTTTGGAAGTGGTGCGTACAAAAATCAAATTCAATGCTGAGCTGCAGCACATCCATTCTGGAGAAGGATAAAACAAACTAGTGTAACATTTTCCTAAACTGTGAGGAGCTGTTGACTACCTCAAAGGCAGGGAGGCCCTGCAAAGAGACCTATATGAATTAGAGAACTGGGCAATTACCAACTATGTGAAGTTTAACACAGTTTAGCACCTAGAATGGGGCAGCCCTGGATGTATGGACAGACAGAGGAATGAGATGTTGGAGAGCAGCGCTGTGGAAAGGGACCTGAGGGTCCTGGTCGATGGCCAGTTGAATATGAGTCAGCAGTGCCCTGGCAGCCAGGAGGGCCAACTGTGTCCTGGGGGACATCAGGCAAAGCATCACCAGCCAGTCAAGGGATTGTCCTGCTCTGCTCTGCACTGGGGCAGTCTCACCTTGAATACTGTGTGCAGTTTTGGGCACCACATTACAACAAGGATATAAAGCTCTTGGAGAGCGTCCAAAGGAGGGCAACAGAGTTGGTGAAGGGCCTAGAGGAGAGGAAGGGCCAAGAGCCTTACGAGGAGCAGCTGAGGTCACTTGGCTTGTTCAGCCTGGAGGAGACTGAGGGGAGACACCATTGCAGTCTACAACTTCCTCACAAGGGGAAGTGAAGGGGCAGGCACTGGTCTCTCTAGTGACCAGTGATGGGACCCGAGGGAATGGCCTGAAGCTGAGTCAGGGGAGGTTTAGGTTGGGTATTAGGAAAAGGTTTTTCCCCCAGAGTTGGGCACTTGAACAGGCACCCCAGAGAAGTGGCCACAGCACCGAGCCTGACAGAGTTCAAGAAGTGTCTGGACAACGCTCTCAGGCACATGATGTCATCCTTGGGGATGTCCTGAGCAAGGCCAGGAATCGGACTTGATGATCCTTGTGGGTCCATTCCAACTCAGGATAATCTATTATTCTATGAACATAAAATTTTGTGAACAGATTCATCTACCAATTCATTTACTGAATGTAATCACCTAATGACACAATCACAGTTCCTTCCCGAACTGTGGCTGTCAAAAAACTCCTCCCATACAAATCATGACATAATTCACAGGTTCTATATTCTGAGCTTCAGAGGACTCCTTGATAGTCGCTCCCTACTGCCTGGCAAAGCCATAAGAATATTTGTGTCTTTTGTGACCACGAAATGAAGTATCAGTCACAGTAACAATTTACAGAACTGTGATTCTCCCTCTTTTTTTCTCGTATATGAGCCAAGAAGCAGTTAAAAATGATGACACTAAAACCTACCACACCAGAGTATCTGGGTTAACACCTTACTAATATGAACAGGGCAGCTCACACCTCTTGCAGCTGCTGTTCCAGTTTCTCTACTACCTCACTTAGACATCTCTGCTTTTAGTTCACATTCTGAGGTTTTCAATAGAGCCATAACAGCCAGGGACTGATGGGGAGCGGGGGGAGGGAAGCAGAAGACACTGGATAACAAGGTAGCAGATTTAGAGAGGTGTCAGTAAGCAATGCCACTGCTCAGCAGACGAATCTCAGTATTGGTATCACACAGCATGTACCCGAAGTACACCCTCAGCAGTCCTACTACAGCTAACATAACTACAACATGGATTGGGAGGGATAGATAATGTCATTATATAGAAACATAGGGAAGCAGAACGCTGATGAACTTCAGTGTTTGGAGCCAACTTTTTTGCTCTACACTGAAATCACAACAGGTTGAATTAAGCTAGTGTAATAACTAGGCTTTTTCCAAAGGACAACTGGGAAGTGGAATTATGCTGTAGATGTGAACATCCACCACTCAAAATGCAGCATTAAGTTTTATAACATTTTCTTAATTCAGTAACAGATCAACACTTAGAGAATACGATCAAAAAACCCAGAAACAAACCTAGAACTTAACTGCTCTATGAATGCCTTGTTTGTAGGGCCTGGAAAGCCAGGCCCAGGACAGGTTTCTATCAGAAATCAGGAGCTTGACCTTGGCCAACACTCTTCAGCTTTTGAAGAAGCAGCCACAGGCTGCACCGACCAAGGTGCACAGCCACGACCGCTGCAGTCTGCCACCAGCTACGGGTGTCCCAACACCTTGTGTCAGCTGGAGCCGGCCCACACCAGCAGGGCTCGGTCTCACGGGGAAATGGCCTTTTAACATAGCAAGCTGAAGGCACCTGACTCAGGGGTTTAGGGCAGGTGAGCGAACACTACGCGGGTATAAAGAACACGGATTTTCATTCAATTCTGTGGACACGTGTCTATAACCATTCGGGCAAGACCTCGGCAACACGAAGCCAAAGGCCACGTAACCTTTTCCTTCGTTACACAGCCAGAGGTCACAGCAGCACCGGCGGGCAACTCGCCTCCCCGGGGCTGCCTGGGCGCCGCCCGGCCGCTGGAGGTCACAGAGGCGGCAAGAAGGAGGGACGGAAGGGGCGGCGAGGAAAGGGAGCCGAGAGAGCGGGAGGGCGCCGGGAGCCCGCTGCGGGCGGCGGGGATGCCCCAGTCCGCCGGGAACCTTGCGGATGGGGGGCCGGAGCCCCTCGGGGTGGCCCTTCCCAGCACCCGCGGGCGTTGCAGTGCAGCCCAGCCCGCCGCCCTCCCGGCGGGTGAGCGGGGCCAGCGGAAAGCGACGGGGGGGGTTCCCACAGGAAGCCCTGGCGAGGCGGGCGGGGCAGGGGGGAGGAGAGCGGGGGAGTGTGTGTGCGGGGGGGGGTCGCTCCGCCGCCCCCGTCCTCCCTCCCTCCCGCCCGCCCCACGGCCGCCCCTACCTGCGGCGCCGGGGGGAGGCTCCATCTGCGGCCCCACGCACGCCGGCAGCTGCGCACACGCTGCGCCCACGCCCCGCGCACGCCGCGCACGCCCCGCCCCTGCGGCGCAGGCGCGGCCCCGCCCGCTCCTCCCGGCCCGCCCTCAGCGGGCAGGGGCGCGCAGGGCGAAGCGAGCCCTGGATTGGGGTGGTGTCGAAGTGAGCGGGGCTGAGGGGTCGGGCGTGGTCTCGGTCTCTGGGGGTCGCCGAATGGGTCAGGTTGGAAAGGGACCACAACGGGGTCATCTGCTCCAGCTCCCTGCTCAAACTGGGTCATCCCGGAGGACGTGGCACAGGATTGCATCCAGACGGTTCTTGTACATCTCCAGTGAGGGAGATTCCACAACCTCTCTGGGCAATCTGTTCCAGTGCTCGGTCACAGTAAAGAAGTTCTTCCTTATGTTCAGATGGAGCTTCCTCTGCATCAGTTGCTGCCCACTGGCTCTTGTCCTATTGCTTGGTACCCCTGAGAAGAACCTGGATTCATCCTCTTGACACCCTCCCTTCAGATACTTGTAGATGTTGATGAGGTCCCCTCTCAGTCATCTTCTCTATGCTTCCTCAGCCTTTCTGCATAAGAGAGATGCTCCAGTCTGCCAGTCATTTTCTTTGCCCTCTGCTGGACCCACTCCAGGATCTCCATGTCTCTCTTGTACTGAGCAGCCCAGAACTGGGCTCCCTGTGGGCCCAGGTACAGAGAGTGCCACTTCCCTGGGAACCTCAGGGAGCTTGTGAGTGTGTGCAGCCGCTGACAGGGGCTGGGTGTCACAGCCTCCAGCCCAGGCCTCCAGCCTGAGGCTTCCACAGCAAGGGCTTGAAGTGAAAAGAATTTCAGTGGTGGCAGTTTTAACCAATGAGTTGGTCTGTGACCTTTAAGAAGGGCTTCCCAATCAGTGGGCAAGAGATCCTCTCTCATGCCTTGGTATCACTGGGACCACATTCCTGTGACAGCTGTGTGGTTGATAGAGGAATCACAAAATTTACTGTCCCACGTGAAACTCATATTTAGGAGTCTGCAGTATATTTAACTGACTAATCTTTAGTTTTTCATGGCACGAGGCAATGCTGACTAGTTTGGGAAACAAAACACGCAATTAAAAAAAAAATTAAATAAGAAGTGACAAATTGCCACACATTTAAAAATCCGAGAACATGATTCCCCAGAAATTAAGAATAATTAAAAACAAGGAGACATATCTGAAACTCAGGACTTGTTTTAACAAATACAACCCAGGATTTTAAAGAAAGCCCACTTTTTTTTCCTGTGTTCAACATTTTAGAGTGACAGGTGGTATGGAAAATCAGTCATTTTATGCAGTAGCCACTTGCAGGAGGCTGCAAAAATGCTTCTAAATATAGCGTTTCCTCTGTTATCTGGCATTGTTACTTCCTGTTAAATGGAAAGATGAGTGTTAAATATTACATTCTTAGGGAAATGGGAAGTCCAGGAGCCTTCCCGAAACACCAGATAGACCTTCTATGCTTCTGGAAGATAATAAGCAGTCTAGAAAAAATCAGTAGGAGGAATTCTGATAACAATCACCACATTATTTATTCTTTAAAGGAATTTCAAGTCCAGTTTTTTCCCCAGATTTGCATTATTTTCCCCATCTGAAAATTCAATCCCTTTATTTGAAAATAGATTGTTTCAATCTGAGGCCACACTAAGAGCCAAGTTCTTCATGTTGATATGTTCACAGAAATTAGTAGAGCGTGATGTAGGCAAAATCTTCCACACGATTGCTTTTGGCCTTACTGATCTAGCATTTCAGTTTTACACCATTAAGTGCCTTTATTCTTTTCTTTTCTTTAAAATCCACAAGTCTGATCTATTTCCTTACAGTAAAATGTGAATGTTACAATGGTTTTCCATAACTGTAAACTGTACCATTTCAGTTACTGTTTATACACTGATTAAGAGAATTTTAGTTCAACAGGGCTGTGCAAATGCAACATGTCAATTTACTTGTATTTGTTTTATTAAGGGGTTTTTGGCCTATGCCACTTCTGCATTGAATGTAAGGGTGCTAAAAAAAAGATACCAGCCAATCTGCAAAGAGTTCTAATATATATCTGCAACAAGAAAATGCAAGAGAACATGTGATATAAAGAGAAGCTTTCGGCAAAAAAAGGAGAGTGTACACTTACAACAGTAGGTCGAGTTAAAAAAAGGCATTATTTTATTTAGTGATTTTTGCTGCTCTTAAACTCCTGGCTGTTGGTGTTTATATATGCCCTGCAAAATCAGAACTCTGAAGATTTCTTTTATTGATGAAGATCTTTGAATTTACATGTCAGCTCTGTGTATTGTGTCAGTTTTATCACAGGATGCTAGGCTAGACAGAACTTTATTTCGTGAAGGCAATACTCACAAAAACAGAAGTCCAAAAACTTTGTAAGTTGGGGAAGCTGTCCTCTTCTCTTCCAGTAGCAGGCCTGGAGAGCAGAAATAGGATTTTTCTGCAAGTCTTATTTCCAAGTCTGACCAAAAAAAAAAGAAGAATGCTAAGAACTGCAAGGGAGTAAGACATATCTTGAGGAAATAAGAACAAATACAAAGGAAAAAATTGTCTAGAACAGCTTTGGCTAGAACAAATATGGAGATTTGAGAGTAAGAAATAGTTTTTGAGTGAGGGCATAGGCAGCTGTGGGTCTGATAATAATCTTGTGCTATTTGGGGCTATTAGAAATTATTGGAAATGAGAACGTATTGCAGAAAGTGTTACCTTGACAGATAAGCAAATGAGACTGACATTATGGAGAGCAGGAATGGCATAAGTAAGACAGAAACTGTCCACGAAGGGCTTTAAATTAAGATAAATAGCTTATGTCTGACTTGGGAGTCAGTGCAGTGGTCCCAGGAGGTGCATAGTGGACAACACGGTGACACAGGAAAATTATTTTCTTACAGCAGCTCAAATGGATACAAGCAGAACAGTTTTCACAACCAGAAAAGAGGAAGTTACTGTGTTAGAGATACGAGGTGTTAAGAGCCATATCAAGAATTCTAGTAGTATAGATAAAAAAGCAAAACACTTTGTAAATACATATTCTGCATGCTTTTATATGCATTCTTGATATTATTAAGTTCATCAACCTGTATAGAGAAAAGATAGTTTTTCTTCTTTAATTAATGTGGAAGTGCCTGTGGAAGTGAACAGTATCCTGAAGTATCCAAGGGTATAAAGGGATGGTTTCATTAAAAAAAAAAAGAAAAAAAAGTGCAAAGTGGGTCTTCTTTAAACATGAGGTCTAACTTGTATCTTATCCCAGGAGAGAGTTCTGAAATGACATCTGGAGTATGCAATTTGTGTTTAGTCAAATCTTTTCTAATATGAATCTTGCACAAGTTGGGCAACCCTGTGAAGTTGTGCTGAAATGTGTGGGGCTTTTGCCATGTAGCACTTTGATACAAGTTAGTACTGTATGCTTCATTTAACTGACATACTTATCCTGTAAACTTGCTTAATTGGGACATCTCCTGGGGCACTGATGTGAGACCAGTAGTGCTTAATACACACAACTGCTACTTAACAGGGCCTTAACGGGACAGTGGCTACTGCCTACTGCTCCTGGTTATTCAGTGCTGCTTATGTCATCTCTCTGTTACAGTTCCTTGGAACTTGTCTATATAAGGAAAATGTTCCCTGCAATTAATTCCCCAAGGATAAAATACTAGGTGCACTAGGGGAAGTAGACTGGTGATGGTGGTCACAATTTATGCACTGATTGTTGCTGTGGGGAAGATATGGTAGCTTCCCTTATATTCTTGAAGGATACCCGAGACGATGCTTTTCTTATAAAATTTTTTAAAAATATATTGTCAGAAATAGTGTTGGGTGACAGTAATTTCTGTGTTCCTAAGATTCATGTTGTCATTTGATTAATCGCCCATTTATAAAAGTGTGAACATATTTTCACACTTCAACCAAGACGGTGTTAACAATGAAACTATAGATAGCAATAGAGATTAATTATCTATCCCACGTGTCTCCACACCTAGTTCTTACCAGATAAAGAGCCTATCTGTCTACACACAGGTGTGATTTTTTTTTTTTTTAAACAATAGCCTTGGTCAAATAAGTTCAAAGGCATATTTTCAAATGGCACCTCTTCGACATTTTCGCTGTTGACATTTTTGATCTTGTTTCATGAAATGTAACTTCCAGTAAAAGGCTGTGATTCTTTTCTAAGCTTACCCATGTGAAATACATTCACTCATAAGAGCGAGATGTGGGGGAGCTTTAAATGAGAATATTTAGAATCAAAGAAACATTTCCTTTTCTTGAGGGAGGATACTATTATGGGAGCCACTGCAAAGTTGTTCAGGGCCTTATTTGCAATTGCCATCTGAGATTGCCACTGACTAGAGACATGTCTTTCATGAGAGGGAAAAACATGAAGAAGGAGTTTGTAGTGTCTTTTGGTTGTGCAAGTTGCAGCACTTTACTCCCCCATAAAATTAAACCTATCCATATGTCTGTTTAAGGATAGGAGGTCTTTACATCAGAATCTGCTCCTGTAGGAAGAAGCACTAGGCGTGTTGGACTAGTTCTGTCCTGTCTTAGTAATCTCTAACTCTTCTTGTTCTGGATATTAGTATCTTGCAGACCTCTGAACCCGCAGCCTGTCAAGTCTCACGTAACTGATGATAGACTTCTGCAGTATCTTCACAATGCAGGCATTAGCACTGTGTGGCCTTGGCCTCTCTCTTTCTCTAGAAGAACCGCAACTGGCATGTTGCTAAGTAGGAAGCTCTGTGGTGGTAGGGCCTATCTCAAGTCCTGTGGCCTGTCTCTTACCACTTCATTAGGAATGACAGCCTTCCCTTCATGGGCCTGGCCTTTCCCCTGATGTTTCAGAGGAGTTGGAACCATCCGATCAGGGTGACTACCAAAATTTGTTGTCTTTCTAGCAAGATGCCATTGAAGTAGTATATAGGGAGCTGGCCATCTGCTCAAGTAGAAAAATTACATCAAATAATAATTATGTTTGCCAGTCACTCCTAGATCTGATTGGCAGAGTGCAAAACACTTCAGTTCCTTTTCTGAAGTCTGCATA